TCTAATACTACCAATTAAAAAAAAACTCTTCAAAAGTGCATCATGGTGGGTCTCTGAAGCAAAATCATTAAAAGTTGAAAAATGATAATTATATTAAAAATTCTATTAAAAAAAAAATATTGTAAAAAAAAATTGGTTAATATGCGCTTTTTTCTTTTTTTGGTTAATGAACTTCGTTTTTATGCTGTTAAATCATATTTATTTATATATAATATCAGGCCTTGTTAAGAAGCGTTACACTAATTGAATTAATTGTTGTAAAAAACATTTGTGGAATATTTTTTTATTAGATAAAAAATCAAATAGATAAATAAACTTTTTTCTATTTTTTTGTTTTTTTAAATTATTTTTAATTTTATTTTATTAAATATAAATTAAATTTATTATCAAATATAATTAAATAAAAATTTATTTAATTAAATTTAATATAAAATCTTTTAAAATTTTAAAACGCTTTACATTATTTATTTAGTTTAATACTTTATCATTACTTTAGTTTTCCACTACTTTAGTTTATTATCATTACTTGAGCTTTACAATTTTTCACTGCTAAAATTTTCTAATTATGTTTAAGTAAAAAAAAAAAATTAATAAATTTAATTCAAGTTACTTTAAAATGTTTGTATTACATATAACTTTATTTTTCATTTCAGTTTTTAAATTGCTTTTTAACAAAATATTTTTCTTTACCTTAAATTTTTTGAACTTATCACGTCGATTTGAAATGATTAACTAGTTTATGAATAGTATGTGAAGATTTTGTTAAAGTCAAATTGCTAAAAAAAAGGTGAACAAGTTCTGCTGATAACATCTTAAAACCAAAAATACTATAAAACTAATTTTGGATTTAATAAGAAATAGTTAAAACACATAAGGTTTTAAACATTTCAATTGATAAGAGTTTTGGCTTAACGCAAATGACTTATCACATAGAAATAAAATAAAGTAGCCATTTGGTACAAAAAATGCGTACAGTGATACGCTTCTTAACAAAGCCTGAAGGTCTGAACCACCTATACTATAAAAACAAGAAAAACCAGAGCACAAGGTTCAGAATTCAGACAAACAAACCAATGAGTAGCAAGTGATTAGAGTTATCTAGAAGTCATAAAGTTAACTATTTAAGTTAAAGATTGAAAAAAAAAAAAAAAGGAAAAGATTTTAGGCATGGCCTTCTATAATAACAGGCCTTGACATCGCGCTATAAAGTTGCCAGACTAGAGGCCGATTTATAATACTGTGTTTACATTTCCTCTTTTAACTTTACAAAAAAGATTTAGTTTGCGCTTTTAGAGCAGATTTTTCAAATTCGATTGGTTAGGTTTGGTTAGAGCGCAACTTTAAGAAGTAAAAGTTAAGTTCATAACACTGGCTTGAGTATTTTTAAACTCATATAAAGTTATTTGAGTAGTAGTAGAAGATGCCTTTAAAATGCTGCATACCTCTCTGCAAGTCAAACTATCACTAGACTGAATCAAAAATATCGATATATAAATTCCCAAAAAATCCAGAGGAAAGAAAAAAATGGAGAGATGTCATCCCAAGAGCAAATTTCTCTATTTCTGACTATACAGCAGTATGTCGACTGCATTGGCCTGATGATGCACCTTTTGAAACCAAGTATTCAAAACAACGACCATTAAACCCACCATCTGTTTTTAAAAATATTCCGCCTAGTTGTTTACCAACACCATCGAATAAAGTCAGAAAAACTGTAACTTCAAGAGGATTTCGAAATGTCTTTCCAGACGAGTTTAATGTTTTTCTAAAAGACGATGAACTTTCATTCGCCGAAATTCAATCTATTTTCATTAATAGCAATGATGTTATTGTTTTTCAATTTAACAAAAATAGTGTGCATATACAGTCAAAAATGTACAAACTTGGAGTTCCATTGTTTTTTTTGGAAATTTTCGATAATTATTCATTCACAGCTTACCATAATGGCACAACTTGCAATATCTCATCTTTAACTGCAAACAATTTAAAATTAATAAAAACAAGATCTGCTTTATTTGAAGCAGTTAGATTTTTAAAACATAAAGAGAGTTCTCATCAATCTAATATTCTATTTGAGCACCTTAATGTGATGAGAAAAGTTAGTGTTGGTGAAGTATTATATACTCCAGATATTATATGTAGAGCGTATGAGTATTTTGCTATGCGACGTAGTTTATATGATCGTTTGTGTGTTTACTACAAGTTGCCCAGTATACGCACTTTAACACGACTGACCTCAAAAATTAGTTCTATGGAGGACCTAAACTTCATAAATAGTATCTTTATGAATTTAGATCCATTAAAAAGAACTTCCATTATTTTAATTGATGAAGTTTATATAAAAGCTTCATTACTTTACCAAAGAGGCGCGTTGTTTGGTCATTCAGTAAACTACCCAGAGAGGCTAGCAACAACAATTTTATCATTTATGATTAAATGTCTTTTTGGAGGACCAGAATTTATATGTAGAGCTCAACCAGTTTCAAATCTTTCCGCTGAATTTCAATTCGCACAATGTCAACAAATTCTTGATGCAATAAATATTATTGAAAACAGTAAGACACTTGCAATCATCACTGATGGTAACCGGGTAAATCAACGATTTTTCAGAACATTTAAAACATTTGAAAGTAAACCATGGTTAACAACATCAGGTACATATTTATTGTATGACTTTGTCCATCTCCTAAAATGTATACGAAATAATTGGTTGACAGAGAAGACTGGTCAACTTTGTTTTTTGCACAATGGGGAACTGACCTTGGCCAAGTGGAGTGATTTGGAAACCTTGTATAAAACTGAATCTATTAGCCTTTTAAAACTTTCTAAACTAACAGCTAAATCAGTTTATCCAAAACCAATAGAGAGACAGTCTGTACAATTTTGTTTGTCTGTGTTTTGTGAAGAAACAGTAGCTGCTTTTAGAACACATCCAGACATTGAAAATAAAGAATTTGAAGGTACTGCTGTATTTATTGAAAAAATTATTTCTTTTTGGAGTGTTGTTAATGTCAAAGCACCTGGTGCTGGAATTCGATTTAGAAATGAATTGCGCTGAGAAATACACTCAATTGATGATCAACATTTACAACTGCTGCGAGATACTGCTGATTTGGCAAAATTTATGAAACCTACAGGTAAGCGATTTAAGCAGCTTACACATGATACCAGTACTGCAATAGAACATACATGCTATGGTTTCATTGATCTTGTGGAAACGTTATTGAGTACTGGATCCAAATATGTTTTATTAGGTTGGTTTTCAACAGATCCTCTTGAAAAAGCTTTTTCTAAGCTTCGTCAGGGGTCTGGGGGTACATACTTCATAAATGCTAAATCTGTACTTGAAAAAATACATATTCAACATACTAAACTGATATTACAACTAGACATTCCTGTTAATGGTGTTGATGGTCATATTTGTGACATATGTTGCAGAGATGTTTCTACTGATGAAAAAGAATTGCTGGATAATTTGCATGATCTTGAAAGCTTGGTTAATAAATCGACATTATTAGCTATCGTTTACATAGCTGGCTATGTGCAAAAAAATGAAATAAATATCTATGATGATACAACCAGTTATTATAACGAATATGGAGATTATCTGAATAGCTTAAACAGAGGGGGACTTGAAATTCCTACTGATACTCTCGTCATATGGTCAATATTTTGTTTTCTATTTTTTCAAGGTGCCACTGGACCTTTATGCAGAACATTTTGTGTAACTCAGTTTCAATTCATAGCAGCCAAGTATAGATTTAAAATAACAAAGAGACAATGCAGAATATATTCTAATATTTTGTTGAAGAATTATGCACTAATTTTTACTTCTAATAGTAGCAGAGAATCGAAAGCAAAAATACTAAAGCTGTCATAGTTTTTTTGAATTTCAGGTTTTAATTCTCCTTTTGTTTTATGTCTCTGGATGTATTTAAATTTAAAAATAGTTACCCTATTTGATACATAATAAGAGATACATAAAACTAAAAAGTTTTTTAATGAATTGACTTTGTTTTTGTTTTTATTTGACATTTTTTGATTTACTTTATTTCAAGTTATGTTCTGTAAGCAAAAAAAAAAAAAATTCTTTTAACATTTTTAAATATGTTAAAATATGAACATTTTTCAAACGATTTTAGTTTTCTTATTATAATTTTGTCTTTATTAAAGATTCGAATAAGAAAGTATTGACAAAGTATTAAAAGCGATTAGTAAGACTTTATATAAATATACAAGCAATCAAAGTTTAATCGGCCTTCAGTTTTTGCGACGTGTCGCGCGATGTCAAGGCCTGTTATTATAGAAGGCCATGATTTTAGGCCATCATTAAAAAAGAATAAATAATAATTATGAAAAAAATAATAAAACAATAATAATAAGATAAAAAGTTGTTATGTTGGCATGGTCAAAAGAGGTTGTGGTACAAGAGTGGTAGTGGTACAAGTGGTACAAGAGCCAAGTCATTTAGTGTGATAAACATTTAAGTTACCAATAAAAATAATATTGGCTGATGGAAAATAAGAGAGAAAACTTACTTCAAAACAAACAAATGCATGAATATGCCAAGGCCAGGCATTTAACTATACTAAATAAAGGATAACAGCAATGAGATTGGAAGATGAATTTAAACAGCTAAATTTAAAGTCGAACAAAACTGAATTTAAAGTAGAGAAAGAGCAAAAGGAATTTTGCATAAAGTAAGATTCAAAAAGTTACTTTTAAAGATCACAAATATTTGTAAATGATAGATTGAATTAATTTAGCAGTAATTTAGTTATGATTTAAATTATTAGAGATTAATCATATAGTACTCCAAGTAATAATATATTTATTATAATCAAATTAACAATGCTCTAGGAAGTACCACATTGGTCTCATTTAGTACCTTTTGGGTTGAAAAAAGGTGTACAAAAAATTTCTTCTAAACTTGAGGCTAAACAATTTTAAAGAGATAAAAGCATATTTTTAAAATATGTATATAGAAAAAATAATGTCACCTTGGTAGAATCATCACACGACTCATTCTTTAAAGAGTGTGCAGTTTTTTGATGATATGATAAACCATTTTTGTTTTTATATCTTTTTCGGCAGTTTGGATCAGGACATTCAAATAATGATTCACTACCATTTACAAAACAAAGCTTTGCTTTATTTTTCTTTAAAGGAGAATCATCCCCATTTAAACTAGAAGGTAACTGGTCTTGATTGGGGCGTTTCTTATTATTGCCTCGAGCAAACTTTGAATTTTTTGATGGAGTTGTAGGGCTTGGGATATTTCTTTTTTTACTAGACCCTGAATCACTGTCATCAGCAACTTGCATATTGGATGTTGTGATTTTAATTTTTTTAATTGGTGGGGGTGGTGGAATTTGTTTACCATCCTGTGCACACGGTGGATCACATGGTATTCTTAAAAAAAAAACGGATGGTTTTTTTTATAAAATCTAAAAATAGTTCAAATGAATGAGTCATAAAAAAATATATAAATTATCAAAAGTGTTTTTAACAATAAATTTCACAAATGAATTGCTACCATTTAATAAAAAAAAAATCATTTAATAAAAAACTTAAATATTTAAATTTTGATTTTTTATTAATGATCTATTGTACAAAAAAAAACTTTTTAAGCACCTACTTTTCTGTTGCCCATTTGTTTTTCTCCACATCAATTAAAGCACCAGAATAAACTTTGTTTCTCCATCTTACATTTAACACAACCAAACCTTAATAAAATTCAAAACATAAAAGTATTTTTTAACTTTTAACTATAAATATTATGGTACTATGACTACATACAAACATACATAAATAAAGAGATTTTTTTTTTTTAATTATTCACCTGCCCAAGGCTGAGAAAGCCACTACAGTCAAGGAGGTTACTTTTGTGGTTACAACCTTCTCTCAACTCTATAAAACACGAACCTCGACAAACAAGGTCATCACGATGAGAAACAAATTAAGCGCGGTACTACCAGGGACGTAGTGGGGATGGAACTCAGAACTTCTCGCTTAAGAGGCAAGTGCTCTACCACTAAACCACTACCGCATACATACATACAGGCTTTGTTAAAAAGCATTATGCTGTTTGCATTTTATATATATAATGGCAATTTTACCTACGCATTAAGCCATTAATTGTTGTAAAAAATTAATTGTTTTCCCCGCAAAAAGCCATTAATTGTTTTCCCCGCAATAGTAATTTTTTTTTTTTTTTTTTCAATAAATAAATAGATAATTAAATAAATTTTTTTCTACTTTTCATTTTTTTTTTTAATTTTTAATTCAAATTTAGTTTATTATATTTCAATTAAATTTATTATTAAATATTATTAAATTTAAATTTGTTTTATTAAACTCAATTTAAAAATCTAAAATGCTCCGTTTTACAACTTTTTTTTTTACTTTCAAAATTTTTTAAAGAAAAGATAATTCTTTTTATCAAATTTAATTTAAGTTACTTTTTTATGTTCATTTCACATTTAGCTACTTTTTTAAATTTATTTATAACTTCAAATCAATAAATTCTTTTCATACTATTACGAAAGTGCTAATATACAAAATTGAATAATGCTTATAACTGTATAATATTATATATTATAAATGCATTGCTGGATAAACCATAATCAAACCTGTATTAATTAAAAAAAAAAATACAACTAGATTGCAAAAAAAGTAAAATTAAGATTTTAATGTTGTGTTATGAATAATTTAAGAAGTAAATAAGAAGTGTAAGTTTTTTCAAAATAATTTTTTTTTTTTTCAAACAACATTTAAATTTCCTGATTATTTTTTTATAACAATATTGTTACATTTAAAGATATTTAAACTTTAAATAATTTTTAGTGGAGTTTCGAATTAAATTTAATTATAAATAATTTAAAATACACAACTAATGTAATTTAACTTTTAACAATATAATTGTATATTGGGTAAAGTAAACTATGAATGCATGTTTAGAAAACATCTCTGACATCATATTGAAATAGCCTGCTGCTGGGGGCTTCAGTATATACATCGACTATCTTATAGTCTGCTGCAAGGAAGTGTTGCTACATTGAATGAGGGTTTGACATGGGGCAGCAATCTTTTCTTTCATAATTCTTTGTTTGTTTTTTTTCTTCTTTTTAAAAAAAATGTTTTTTCTTTCATGCAATAAAAATTCTTGTAATATTAACTGAAAAACATATACTTCATTTAGCGCAAAAAATCTATGAAGGTGCAAACTTTTGTTTAAAAAAGACTGAAAAATAAATGTCACGTTTCTATATTTTTGCATTTGCAAACGTTGGCATTTAATTAAAATTTTTAAAAGCCCACACTTTTCTTTAGTAATTTTTTTTCCAAATAATTATGCATTTAATAATATTTTTTATAAAAAACACTTATTTATAATAAAAAACAATTGGTTACTAAAATTTAAAACACATTTTAAAGACTTTATTTTCGAAATATTCTTTCAATAGCATTAATATTAAGTAAAGTACGCTTTCCAAGAATGTAATTATATTTTAGCATGGTTTTTGTATGCGTTAACAAAAGCATCTGAAATTATACTTGAAATAAATAAATTTGCAATTACGTTGAAAGAAACCATGCTCAAAAATTATTGCTCCTATAACATGCTTTTCTTTAAATTTGCTTATTTTTCTTTAAGTGAAGTAATGACTATTTGCACATTAAAACACTTTTAAAATGATTGAAACAAATTTTTAGGTTTAGAATTAATATGTTTATTATAGTTTTTATTTTTCATTGAGCGTTTAACACCACCAATAATATGATATTTTTATTGACTTATTATTAAATACCTATATATATAAATAAATATGATATCATTTTTTAAAGTTTAAAAAAAAAATGTCAAAACAACTTATATTTTATTTTTGGTTCCTTTTATTTTAATTTCTTCAAGTTTATACGTTTCTTTATTAAAATTTATAAAAGCTGTTTAGAGGAGCAGGCGCATGGCTCGCCATGTTCGTTTTGGAGAGCTTTTTGATACTCTCGCACTCATTTTTTCCCGCTGAGGCCTGTATATATATATGCATATGAATATATCTACATATATATATATATATATATATATATATATATATATATATATATATATATATATATATATATATATATATATATATATATATATATATATATATATATATATATATATATATATATATATATATATATATATATATATATATATATATATATATATATATATATATATATATATATATATATATATATATATATATATATATATATATATATATATATATATATGATATATATATATATAGATATATATATATATATATATATAGATATATATATATATATATATATATATATATATATATATATATGCATATATATATGCATATATATAAAGATCAATGATTAAAAGTTATTCGCATCTTAAAGATTTTTTTAATTGCATATAAATTGTTAAAACATCAAAACAGCCGTTATCAAATTGTAATGAAAAAAATAATAAGCGTTGTCAGTTACAGCATGGATTTTTATCTAAAAAATTTATCTAAAAAATATACAATATTAAATTAAAACTATTTTATTAAAAAATAAAATTCTACAATGAATTATTCTAAATAGTAAGGAAAGAAACTTCACTAGATTAACGTTAAATAAACTGAATAACATGACAAAGATTTTGATTGCATAACTTGGTTCAATAAAACTGTAAAAATTATATTTTAAAAATTTGATCGGACTGTCTGACCCAAATAAGTTTTGATTGGATATTTTGTCTGGGACTTTATAAAAAATTAAATTGAGCCCTGTAGATGGTTTTTTACTGGACTTCTGCAGCCGTTTTTCTAAAGCCTTAAGGTAAAAAAAATCAATTTTGGCTTTTTTACAAAATAAACTAATTATGATGTCTACAAATGTTATTGAATACATATTTTTAAAGAGTTCTGAAAAAGTTCATAAGAATTATTAGTTTTAAAAAACATTTTACAAAAACTTGCTCTTAATAATTTTTTCAAAATATGTTTTTCTCAAAATACGTAATAAGCATATTAGGGAATTTTGAAAAACAGCTGCAGATTTGTCCAGTAAAAAATCATATCTATCGGTCATTTTGTCCAACCTATATTTTATGTGCATTTATTTTCTAATCATTTTAGTTGTTCCAAAACTATTATTCAATTTAGTATTGTATATAGCCTTTATTTTTTGAAATTTTTATTTTTTATACAAAACAAAATTGAAGTTGATCACACGTTAATAAAATACGTCATTTTTTTTAGTTAATTCATTTTTTAAGACGCCAAAGCATTACATTTTTTTGAATTAAGTAGCCCTGTTTTTATCATTTATATTAAAATGTTGCAAATAGTTATTAATTTAAATTTATAGTTTAATATTTATTTTATTTTATATCTGATGGTTTTTATAAATTTTAAACAAATATTTTAGCTTTAAAAACCTCTTTTAAATTTATTTTTAAAATTTTCAACGTAATAGTTATTTTAATGCTTATAGAAACCAGTACTTTTTATTACACTATAAATTTGAGTTGTTATGTAATGTTTAAAATTTTTGCTATTAAAAATGTTTATAAATTTAATGCAAGTAAAAGTTTGAAAAGATTTATAAAAAAATACATATTTATATAAATGTAATTAGGTATAATATTCTTTGATAATTTAAATAAAATGGGTTTATTGTAAACATAATTAACTTATTACCTTATTCAATAAAGTAAGCAGTAAACTTAATAATTTATGTATTTAATATATTTATATTGGAACTTATGTATTTAATAATTTTGTATTTTTTTTGTAAATTTTTATTATATATTTCATTTATTTAATAATTTACAAAGCATTTTGCATAGTATAGTAATTTTTAATGCATTTTAAACGCAATATAAATATGTCTTCTTTTTCAAATTTTAGTTTTTTGAACTTAGATTTTTTCTTTTTCTTCAAGATTTTCAATTTGATAGATAATTTATCTTAAAATTTTTTTTATTTTCAGAGGATTTTGAAACGCCAAAATAAATTGTGTGGTCAAGGAATGGCATTTTAAAAACAAAATATATTATGCGTGGTCAGGAATGGCGTTCAATCGCACTTTTTTAATTTTTATTGGATATGTCCAGCAAACTTGAATCTTTATAAGATAAATTGTCCAGTACAAAAAAGTTTGCTATTTCAAGCCCTGTATATATATAAATATATATATATTCTTATTAAAATATATACTTATATTTAAAAATATATATGTATACCACCGAGTGTCTCATGTAGAATTACTCCATGTAAGTTTACTCTTGTGCCAGGAGGTGCTGGGCATTCAACTGGAGAGCAGTTTAACTCAGATAGAGGAAGCAAATCTATTAAATCCTTAAAAAAGATATAATAAGAAAATAAATTATTAGATTATTTTAGATGTCATTTTGCATCAATATTTTAGTTTTATAACTATTTTTTTATAATAAACTAAAAAATATTTATAGATAAATAATAGATATATAATAATTATATAATAAAGATAGATAAATATACATAGATAATAGTTAAAAAAAAAAAAAAAAAGAGTTTAGCATAAAAATATAAAGATCTATGAAAATGTCAACACTTCTGAAATACTTATTAAATTTTAACATCACTTTTTAATGTTGCTGCTATGAAATGTAAACAGATTCTGAAAAGTTTAGAAAATATCAACGAAAATCAGTTTTGCATATAGTCAGAACATTTAAGCAACTTAATTTGAAAATTATCATACAACTAAAAAATACTAATGAATGATATGATTATTAAATAATGAATGATAATAATTGACATAGCAATGAACAAATTTAGAGAAAATATGCAGGGTTCATCATTGTTAACTTTTTGATAAAAGAGAAGACAAAAAAAAAGTTAATGAACAAATAAAGATTAAAAGTTCATTTTACACAGTGGCTCTCAACACAAAAATAGATGTTTTAAATATCAATTCTTCAATTTTATATTTTAAATTTCAATTTTAAAATTATTTAGTGGAAAGTGTTCCAAAATCATTTTCCAATTAAATCACTACTATTCTTGTTTTTGAAAAACTTTAAATTTTTAAAGACACCCAGTATTATGATGATTCAATAAACAATATTATGAAGTATTTAGCAAACTAAATAATCAAGGAAATGATCACAAAAAAAAAAAATTTATCAGCAATATTTTCACCATCCCGTGTCAAAATAAAGCTGAATTCATTAAATGAAAACAAATTAGCTAGAATCAAAAACATTTCTTAGTCTATCTTTAAAAACTGCAGTTCTTCTCTTGGCTGACTATTTAGTTACTCCTTATTATTCATCAAAACAATACTGACACTACCCCACACCTACGAAAACAAATCAACATCACACTAATTCCAGAAAAAAAGCAAAATAAAAACAAACCAACTCATTTTATCATCATCAGCAATTCATATAACTTAATTGCTAAAGGCATGAATTTACTACAAGTAAATAAGTGATCACAAACTTATTCAAATTAATAAATGAGATCACTGATGCTTTAAACAGAAGATTTTACACTTGAGTGTTTTACCTTAACTTTGTTAAATCATTTGATATTAGTAGATCATAAACTATTAATTGCTAAAATGAAAATGTATAGTTTTGTATAACCAATTACTAAAAAATTTTCAGAAAATTTTTTACAAATTGATTATTCAACTTCATTTCAAATAGGCAACAAAGAGTTGTATTATAAGATGATCTAAATAAAATAGCTAAGTGGATAAAAAAATAAAGCATGAAGGTAAATTATGAAAAGTATAAAATCATCAATCATCAAATTAAAGAATAGTGAAACAACACATGGTGATATAGGTATCAATATATACTACAATCTCAACTTAAATGACCCCGTCACAATGATGACCATCAAAACTTTGTTTAGACACATTGAAATGCACACATTGGTTCATTGATACATATACAAAACATACATCAGACTGATTAGAATTTAGCGCACCAGTCTGGAAACCACATACAATAGCCAAAATAAAGGAAAAACAAAGCAAAATGTTCTTAAAAAAAAAAGTTTTAAAACTTATACCAGATTATTGAAATTTATTTAAAAAATATTTTTTTAAAGCCCTTTTTGAATTGTGTAAATGATATACAATATCGTTTTATTAAAACAAAGTTAATGATGAATATATATACTAACAATAAATTAGCAAATAATGAAAGGTTATATGTAAAATATGTTAATCAAACCATCACACTAAATTAAGTAAATAAGTTTTTAATGCTTTTTTAAAATACAATGTTTGATTTTTGTAATTGCATTAATATTACATTAATACTTGTGAATACATGTATTAAATTTTCCATTCAATTTTATTGTTGATATGAAGAATATATAAGATTAAAAAATATGTTTGAAAAATTAAAGATTTTTTTTTATAAAAAAATAAATTCATCACTAAATTTTGAAAATCTTCATCAAAAATATACACAAATTATATAAAAATACATTTACCTTTTAAATTTAGAAATTTAATTAATTTACTTGAAGGTATAATAAATACTCTTAATCTTTATTGGAAACAAAAAGTTTTTTATTTGCAATAGTTAACCAATTATAGGGGTGGGCAAAAACACGGATTAAAGACCTGAAAAAATCCTAAATAATGAAATTACTTATGTTTTAATTTTTAAGATTAATTAAAATATTTTATATTTAAAATTCTTTATAAAAATGTTTTTAAAAAAGGTTTGAATTACTGCATTTATTTTTTTTTAATTAAGCTTGATTAAGTTATGAATAAACAGATTAAAATTGCAATCATGTTTTAAGCGCCACCAAATTAAAAATAACTTCCTTTTGTAATGTACAAAGTATTGTTTATAACATGAGTTTAGGCTACAACACAGAAAAAAACTTTTGCATGGAAAAAACTTTATTTCAAAATTATAAAAAAAACTTCTTAGCAGAAAAAAAACACCTTGTAAAAGTCTCCATCTACATTTTGATCATAAATAGCATCTTCTTCAACCTTAGATTCCAACTCTATTCGTTGTCCGTTTCTTTCTTTAGTCATGTCTGCATCTCCATTGCTTATACTAGCATTTCTTAAACTTCTTCGTGTATTTTTACGAGTGTTTATAGTTTTGTTCTTCATTTCCCCTGATGATTTCTTCGCTGACATTTTACATAATGGTGATTAAAATTGCTAAATACAAAACAAAAAAAGTTAAAATAAATAAATATACTATTAGATTTTTATGAAAAAATTTTATTTTAATATTTAAATTATTTACAAGACAAATTTGAGGCACAAAAAAATTTGATTATTTAGAAAAAAGCATTATTTTAAAGATGTTTTGATTAATAAAAAAATTGATTATATGCACCCATAAACATCATGAAAGTCTATCTTTAAAATAATCAAACAGAGTTATTGTAAAAAATGACAATCTGCTTTTTTTATTTTACAGCTATGTTACAACCAAATCAATTATTATTATTAATTACTATAGTTACTTATAATTATTAATATAAATAACCTATCAATAAAGGTTTAATAATCTAGAGAAAAAAACTTAGTAACAAGTGAAAAACCAATTTGTGACTGATTTGAAAAAGTCTTTCATGGATAACTTTTTTCAATGTAGTGTTGCTGCTGTTATTATTGATACTGATTATAAAATCTAATAATCTTGTTACCTTTAATTTTTTACATTAATAGAGTTAATTGCTGCTTGTAGACTATTTAAATTGACAAAAACAAATTAACAACAGAAAATGCTTAATGATAGGTTTGGAGAACACTGAAGTACCAATTAATAGTGGCTGTGGGTGACAATGGAGATTAATGATGCAACATGGCAAATATTATGACTAGTAACAATACTTTTACTGAATTTGATTAAATTAAAACTTAAAACTAAAAGTTACTCTAAAACTAAACCTGGTAATAAATATTTTCCAAAAAAAACCTATTTACTTTTATAGTTATTATAAGAATGTGAGTGTTTATAATATATGTTATTGTTTATACATATGAGTGCATCAAAATGCGACAATTTTATAATCTATATAATAAAATAACACTGAATATGTTTTTTATAAAACTAATATGATTTTTAAAACTTTTACATAACTTTGCTTTTTTTTAAGCACCAGGTTGACCTACCTTGGAAGAACTTTTTTTACATATACATTTGGGACCCTTTAAATGTTCAAGGGTCTATATATATATATATATATATATATATATATATATATATATATATATATATATATATATATATATATATATATATATATATATATATATATATATATTACAATTTAAAAAATAAATTGTTGTTTCATTTAACATTTTTAAGCACGACTCTTATAAATAATTTTATAAGAAAATATAAACTTTTGTTAACATTTATGTAATTTCATATCAAAATGATTTAAATCCTATGCAAATACACTTATCAAAGAATATCATTTAATTATTTATAACCTCAGAACTATTTATTTATTATGGTTGCAAGTTTGTATTTGAAAACACTGACAATAGGATAGTAAAACTTAAAAATAAACTCCACCTTTGTAAACTCTGTTTAAATTGAAATAAACCAAGTCTTAATCATGGATTTAGACAAGTAAACAAATGTTAAATAAGTCAGGAAGTGCTAAGCTTATCAACTGGTCATACAAAAAAAAAAAGTAATAATAATAATAATAAAAAAATTAAAAAATTTGCTAAATAATATTATTATTCAAAAAATATTTTTTTGAATTATTATATATATTTAAGAAAAAATATCACAAATATCCTAAGTATGTTAAATCATTATTTGCAACTATTCAATTAAAGTTTTTTTTTGAACTTTTTTATAAAATATAAAAAAATTCAAAACAAATCACAACTATGTTATAAACATTTGAGGTCCTGTATAAAACATATTTTATAACATAAAATTAAAATCCTTAGTACAAACAGAAACAGAAATATTTATGAGTTACACTACAAACAAAAAATCAATAAAAAAAAGATGAATTATAAAAACTGGGGAAAGAAAAAACATATTTTTATAGAAGTATATTTTTATTTGTATATTTTTTGTTATATGTCTGTATATAGAGATTTATAAATGAATACATACTTATAATTAAATGCAGATTTTGTATATCACTCAAGATATCATACTGAATCATTATATATATATATATATATATATATATATATATATATATATATATATATATATATATATATATATATATATATATATATATATATATATATCAATAAGAAAGAATTTTTTTTTTGAAGTAGGCGTATATTTCAAGTATATTTTATGCAGTAATGCATTGAACTGCATAAAATATACTTTTTTAAATACTCTCAGAATTATGAATTGAATAATATTATTATTTACTTGATAACATAGTATATAGTAGCCCATAATATTGTAAAGCAAGATAAGCTGATATTCATAGACAAAAATTATGATTAAAATATACTTTGTTTACTGTCTGACAATAGCCAACAATTTTTTCAATATTAGATAAAGCCTTAAAAATTCTTCTGATGATTGTTTTTTTTTTACTACAGTAATAGACTTCAAACATAAACTAGAATATGTTTTTAAATATATGATTATAATGTTTTTAAAATTTCATATTGAATCAAAGTAATAACAGAAATAATAATAATAATATAAATAATAATAAATTTAATAATAACAATAACTTATTACTTGCACTTTTTTTTTATAGAATTTACTGCTACTTAAAAAGTTTTTGCAAAAAGACTAAAGTAATTTTACAAAAAAGTAACTTGATAAAACTTATTTAATACCAAACATTTTCTGTTATACAAAATAATTTCAGAGAGTAAATATATAAAATAATTCTCTCCCCTTTTTTTTTCATTGCAATAGTGAAAATTTATTTTATGACTGCATATGCTTACAAAAATATAATCTTGAAACATTTTAACAAATAAAGAAAACGTTTTAACATTGTAACTTGAACAAATTTAAATGTCATTTCTATTACAATAAAATTACAAAGCTCCTTAAAAACTTTTTAAAGAGAAATGACATAAATTCAAGTTTTATTTATTATTCTTACAAACCTACATATGCATTAAAAAAGTACCAATGCATTAAAAAAGTGCCAAACAATTTTAATAGAACATTTCAAAAAAAAAAAAATGATTTTAATAGATGATCCATAAAAAAATATTTAAAAACCAAGAAGTCATTTTAATGAATAAATTATTTTACATCTTTTTCAACATTTATTTTACTTAAAAACACTATTTGATTTTTAATAGAAATGCATTACTTATAAGCTGTTGTCATGTTTTGTCTATTTCGAAATATAGTTGTCAAATTTAAATGTTTTTTTTTTCTTTCCATAATTTAATTAAAGATAATTGTTTTTATTCTAAAAAGAAGCAATGAAAATTAATTTAATGATTTATAAAATGCTTTTATAGAGCTGTTCCAATTGATTTTTACTCTTACAGATAATTAAGATTTAAAAACAAAATCAATAATTAAGTCAATAATTAATGCACCTTTAATTATGTGGTAAATGATTTCTTTTGTTTGCAGGAAATTTCTCTGCTTTTATTTATATCAGACATAACTTAATTAAACTTGCATCATCTTTCTTTTACAACTTAGTAAAAAACTTTCTAAAAAAAAGATGTAGAACTTTAAAAACTAGTTTTATACTTGACAAAATGAATTTAATACTAAATATTACTAATATTATTAATATTACAATTAATAACATTTTTGGGGAAATATTTATAGATAAGTTTTATTAAACTATTGTTTTTAATGAAAGCTTATAATAAATAACTTTTATTTAAATTGTCAATTAATGGTTTTTCAACAAATACTTATTTTTATTATTAAACTCCAGTAAATTAATTTCATTTTTAATTGAAGCAAAATTATTAAATTTTATTTAGCAAACAAAAATTTTCTAAACTGTTTTAAAACAATCAACACAAAAGTATGAAAACAAATTATTATTCTAATTTACTGCTACAATAAATAAAAAACATAATTTGCAAAAATTATGAAAATGTCACACAAATTTTCACCGAGGGTAATGTCTTTCACACTTGCATAGTATATGCCTAAACCTTTAAGTGATTAATGCACTGAAACTCCCACAAATGGCTGCTATGTAAGCAATACCATTTTGTGCAAGGTTAAGTACGGTAAGATATTTATAGTACTTTGAAATGAAATCACACAAACATTCACCTGGGTTAATGTCTTTCATACTTGCATAATATATGCCTAAACCTTCAATTGATTAATGCACTGAGCCTCCCACAGAGGACTACTATGATTTCAGCAATATCATTTTATGTAGGGCTAAGTACGGTAAGATATATATATATATATATATATATATATGTGTGTATATATCTTATACTGCTGAGTTAGGTGAGCATGATGATGTCATACTCACCTAATGTCAAATAGCCTGCTGCCGGGGGCTTCAGTACATACATCGACTGACAAATAGCCTAACTTGCCGTGGAGTGCTGCTACATCGACTGAGGGTTTGGTATGGGTCAGCAACATTTTCATTCATTATTCTTCGTTTTCCCTCATCGTTTTCTAAAAGTGCTCACTTAATTTAGGCTAGCAAAAAAAGTGAGCAATTGCGCATATAAATATGCTATAGTAGATATATATATATATATATATATATATATATATATATATATATATATATATATATATATATATATATATATATATATATATATATATATATATATATATATATATATATATATATATATATATATATAGACAGACACACAAATATCACTCTCTCTTTAAGGTTAAAAAACTTTTTTTGTTGCTTTCTTGTTACGCTTCAATAAGTTTCTTTTATTTTGTTTACTTTTCATAAATATTGATTAAAAATGTTTATCTTCTTTACAACTTTTTTAGCTAGATTTTTTATTTTTGAATGATATAATAACCAATGTATTCATTTAAATATTATAAAAACATTGAGTGAAATCAGTCCTTAATGAAGTCTAATAAAAAAAAAATATATGAAACTTTTAAAATATGAACTTAAAAATGTGAAACTTTTCTTTTCAAAACTTTGTATATATATATAAGGCTAGAAAATTGAAACCATTTTTTATACATTAAAACTTAACAATAACTTAACTTAGCAATTTTTATACATTAAAACTTAACAGATATGCTTTTCTTTTGAAAGAACCTAAAACAACTAAAAATAGTTAAAGTTATTTGAGGCAACAAAAAAGGTCAAACTCACACACCTGTGTATGTGAGTGCTTGCGTGTGAGTAAAATGCATATATTTATATATATATATACATTTGGTATTTGTAAGTATGTGTGTATATATGTATGTTTGTATGTATGTATGTATGTATGTATGTATGTATGTATGTATGTATGTATGTATGTATGTATGTATGTATGAATGTAAGTATGTACATACATACATACATACATATATATATATATATATATATATATATATATATATATATATATATATATATATATATATATATATATATATATATATATATATATATATATATATATATATATATATATATATATATATATATATATATATATATATATATATATTTGCTTCGCTGATTTATTAAATTAAATATTTATAAAATGTATAATTGTAGTTGTTCAATGGTTTCGACCAAACTTACCAGTTCGACTTATACTCGTCGCAACATTTCTCAAAGCAATAAAAAAAACTCTTATCAAAACAAATACTTAAACTTGTATCAAAACTTTATTGACTGTTTTTTCAGAGTTTCAAAATTCTCATTAAGAATACTTAAAATAGTTTTACAACTAAAATATCCGTGTTTGACATGACTGGTGACTTTTTTGCAGCCCAGGTTTTAATAAACGAGAAATTTCTTATCAAAACATAGCTACAATAATCGAGGCAACTAATTGTTATTTTACGGTTGATTTTTTTTTTTTTTTTTTTTTTTTTTTTTTTTTTTCTTAATAAAAAAAAAATCAGAACTCAGGCCTTATTTAGGCGCCAGAGCCTATTTGTGTTATTTTTATGGATGACAAAAGAAGAAAAGATTTTTCTTCACAAGAATTTTCCTTATACTCTTTGCTGCCAAAGAAATAACACCATTATAAATTATTAAAAGTTTAAGAGAAATATGAATTCTAATTATTTTTTATGTGATACTTGAGGTACTTACGAAGGCTCATCCAAATTTGCTCAATATCCGCTCTTTTTTTAGTTATCCATCTAGTTTTCCAACTAAGAAATACGAGACGCCATTTTTACACATATACTTCCACGTCGTTTTAAATACTAGACTAACAAAAATAAAATTAAAAAGTTAATTGCAAAGTGAGATTTTTACAAATTTGATTTATAATTTAAAAAAAAAAGTTATATGGATAATATATAAATAAATAAGATGGATGATAATAAAACTACAAAAAAAAAAAATAAAAAAAAAATAAAGAATACAAAGTACAACAAATTCCAACAAAAAAGATCCAGTCTATTGTCTTTTTAAAAATTATTTTTAAATTCAACAAAAGTTTTTATAATTATAAAATACGTTTGAAATTAGTATTTTTCAGTTTTTAATAAAGATTTCAACATTTAAACTGAAGATTAATTTTAAGCACCTTAAAGGGTATTAATTATTAAGTGGTACAAGTTTTTTTTTTTTTTTTTTTTTTTTTGTATGTACTGTTGCTAAACTTGTCAGTGTAACAAGTAGTATCAAATTTGAACTCTTTCGTCTTTCGTTATAAGCTTTAATGTATAATACATATAACTTCATAATAGAATTTAGTTTTTTATTTCAATCAAATTTTAAATAAAGAACTTTAATTTTTTTTTTTATTAATTTTTTTTCTTCGAAAAAATACATATAACTTCATAATAGAATTTAGTTTTTTATTTCAATCAAATTTTAAATAAAGAACTTACTTTAATTTTTTTTTTATTAATTTTTTATCTTCGAAAAATTGTTTATAATTTATAAATGATGGATATTGGTGAAAATGGTGAAAAAACTATAAATTTGGCTAAAAAAAAACAATAGAACTGCAAAAGTACAAATACAACGCGCCTCACAATAATTCAATTAGTTTATATAAACCATTTTTAAACAAATAAACATACTCTACCATTTCTATCGCTTTTTTTATTAACAGCAAAAAAAAAATTGTTTTGATCATCAACTTCAAAAATAAAATTTTAAAACAAAATAAAATCAATGTTATCAGCATATCTGAAACCTAATAGTTATGTTAAACCAAAAAGAAAATTTTCAATTTATTTTTAAAAAAAGGTTAAATTACTAAGACATTTAATGCTCAAAACTCAAACGACGGCTTTTTTAGTCTTGCTAGAAGTAAAACTTGGGTTTGATTTCATATTTATATTGGTTTAAACTGTGTTTTAGAATCAAACAGTTTTGACCAGGTCTTTTGAGGGCATCAGCAATAATTTAGTAACTTAATTTTCTATTGAGAATAATCGACTATATATATTATTTTAATAAATCAGACCGCTGATATAAAATAAACTTTTAAAACGAGTTTGTTTTATTAAATCAATAAATATATTAGTAGTTTAAATGTAGTTCGACTAGATTTAAAAACAGATTGATAAATATTGATCGACTGATCAAAAAAACTTGTAAAAATAAATGCAATAAATATGCGCTTTCACTTTAATAAGAATTTAAAAAAAAAAATTTTTTTCAAATATTTTACAAACTTCTGAGCAGCAATTTTTGCAATTTATTTTAATTTTATTAGATGAAATATTTTTCGGTTAGATTCTCCACGCGTCATTAACTTTCCTTACTTGCTTAACGACGGAAATCTTTTTGTGGTTAAATTATTTATCGACGTTTAACAGATGTTTCTTTCGCAGACATGTTTAAGACAATAGATTTTAAAATAAGTTATAAGTATTTGATTAGTTTATTTATAAAGGCAGGCGCGATAAGGTCAATGCCGACAATGAGCTTCCAAAGTTAGCGTATTGACGTCAATACCGCATAATGTAAGAAATATTTAATTAAGGCACTCAATTATTGTTTGTCTGAAACTTAATATCAATAATAATTTCATAAATAAAAAAATACAAATAAATAAATTTATGATAAAAATAGGTTGTTAGATACTTGAAATCTTAAAATTTCATTTCATTTTAATCAACATTTAAAGGTGGAAATAAAGCGGATTTTTGTTTGTTTGTTTGTTCATTCTTTAATCATTACATATTTGTGATATAAAATAAAAACTTACAAATGTTAATAAATTCTTCTATTATATTGTATTAACAAACTTTTTAATGATGTTATTTTAAATCTGCAAAACTTGTATAAAAAATATTAAATATTTAAAAAATGCGGCATACTTACAAAAGACATTTTTTTTGTTTTTTTTTTTTTAATTTATTTTTTTGTATACTTACTATACAATAACTTCAATATAAGTTTAGATAAACAGTGTCATGTTCTCAGATTATACTAAGTTTTAATAGTAAACATAAAAATAATCAAAATCAATAATTTCCAATGTTAAATAAATATTGTGTACACATAAATATGTTCATTATTCTTTTTTTATACTTGATAGTACATGTATAAAAAAAGAATACAGCGAAAGAATTTAATAAAAAGTAAAAAGTAACTTTTTAAAATTCCATTAAACCATTCCCATTTAACTAATATATATAATATATAAAATAATATAAAAATAAATATATTTAAAAATAATATAATAATAGCATGGCGTTTTTCATTTCTCTTAACATTTTAAACTATTTTTTAAATGATTTAAAAAAATAATTTTAAAGCTTATTTGAGAACAATTTTTTAAACACATTTTTAAAAATATATATAAATATATATAAATATATATATAATTATTTATAGAGGCGATTTTACGGGTGTGTGGGGGGAGTGTTCTACATCCCTTCCCCCACCCCCAAACAAGGTGATTTTCAATTTATAGCCGGTTTTTTTACGAGTTTAGTCGGCTAGTCGGGTAAATTTTAGTTTTAAGGACCTATTTTTTTTAAAAAAAAAAAACCGCGGTCGGGTACTTTTTAAGGATTCACTCCCCCCCCCCCCTCATTTTATTCTAGAGAACTAGTGTTTATTTGAAATTGTTTTATTAAACAAATTTATTTGTTTAGATTATTTGGCTTATTTAGATTAACCAATGCATGCTCTACGATAGTTACCCCAGCAAAAACTTAAAAACAGTTTTTTTTGTTACCCTTGTATTCTCTTGGATTAAACGCTTGCTAGTAAATACAGGACGAAATCGCTGGTATAAAAAGCAAGCAGGATCGAAGTGTACGCGATGGATCATTTTTTACCAGAAACAAATTATAGTTGAAGCAGATTATACTCTTTATTTATTGCTGGAGCAGAGATATGCAACTAAAAAGACATGAAAGAAACATGAAGCACGTACGAGTAGTGTTGTTTAGTGCTGTTGATGGGTCGAGTCTGGGTCAGGTATTAACAGACCCGGACTCAGACCTGACTAGCATATACAAGTCTGGGTTTGGATTGGGTATCAACGGAGCCTAGCTGGATACATATCCGATTCACTTTATGGGTATAAGACGTGTGTGGGTACCGATCTCAGTCATGCCAAAACAAGTACAAAAATAGTGCGTAGCATTGCTGAATTTGGGGTATTGAGTGCCTCTGTCATCATAGCTGGTAATAGTTGAGGTTGTTGCGTTAACCAAATCGTCATAATGGAATCGAGCAACTTTTCTATTACTAGCTGTGATCTAAGATATCTTCTTTGTGTTTACCGCATATTTGTATATACTTATTAATTATAATCTTTTTACAATACGACTCTTACGTAAAATAACTAAAGTAATTTTTTTCTCAACTTTCAATGATAAAAATACTTAATAACTTAAACGGCCTTAAAAAATTCGATAATGAGTGTCTAACAGATTATTCATCTGAGGTATCACCTAATAAATAAAATCAGAGAATTTGCGCAATCTAAAAGTTCTGAATAGCATTTGTTAAAAAAATGTTTGTTCGGTTTGGGTATAACAGGTTTAGATTTTTGTTATTTAGGTGCCCCAAGAAAACCTAACGGTCTTGCCACAGAGCACCACGGAGATACATTTAACCAGGAAGTTTACGCCTCCTACCTTACCGTGACGCGAAAATATGTCCAGATCTCGTTTCAAACCTTGTTCTCTTGCTTCTAAAGCAAGCGCTTTAACCACTGCGCCACGACCGCACAAACTATAAGACCCATACCCGACTCGTTTAGTTAATGGGTCTAACAAATCTGGGTCTAGCGGGTTTTAGGTCCATATTAACAAGGCCCAGGCCTAATTCAATTGGGTCGGGTTTGGGTCTAGACTGGACCCAATAACAAATAAACAGAAGCTACCACAATCTATAAGCATTAACTATACACTTATAGATTAGGGTAACTTCTGTCAAGATGTGTGTGAAGAAGAGATTAAAACTCACCTAAATGTTGTTAGCGGAATATATTATGACGGTACTCTGATTGTTAAAGCAATAGACGAATCAAACTTTTTTTACAGGTATATGGACCACAAAAAGAAACTCACTCCAAAAACCACACAGACACATTTATTGTAACCAGACCTAGAGATGTGAGTCGTTTTTTTGGTTGTTGTTTTTTTGCAAAAAAAAACTAACTGCTTCGTTCTTTGATTATTATGGTGTTTTTGAAAAAATTACTCTTTTTCTTTTTTTAAACATTGAAATAATTTTTATAAATTTGTTTTTAGGTGATATCTATTATAAAAGAGTTTTCATTCTTCAATTAACATATCATTTTATGAGAACTAAAGTTTTTTTATGAATGAAATAAATACAGCATTGCAAAATTTAT